CGTTTTGTTGTCAATAACCATTATGAGTTGTGCCCAGCCATACTTCAGCAACATCAGGTAAAGTAATATCATTTTCCACAAGTATTCTGGCCACCGAGGGTCTGGCTAGGTTGAAAGTAGGCAAAAGTAGCTTCAAAGGATTCCGAATGATGGCCCCAATAGAGTAAAGAACTTGATGATGAAAAAAATGCAGCTTGAGACCAGGTAAACTAAACCATACCAATACAGTGGAAGTTTCATGATTTGGGTCGAAATCAGGAGACCACTTGGAGACCACTTAGGAGACCACTTAAGTAGCTTCATAGGTTTACCAGCGATGTTAAGATATTTTCTGGAGAAAATCCGAGTGTAGTCCTCAGGCACGGTTAACTAAATTAATACATATCTCTCATCCATGAGCCCCACTTTCCACTTTCTTATTAGTTTGAGGTCATCAAAACTTTTTCTGATAATTTCTATAGGTGGGTGTCCCCACTGAAATTTTCCAATAAGAGCAAATTTGAATTTGTCAGTTAGCATTGAAATTTCTGACGTGGAGAAAAAAAGTGTTGTCTCCTCACTTTTTCTGCTTGCATTCTTAATAAAGGGACAGTCACATGTACCATCACGATGCTCCTTATAGCTTGAAGGTAAGACAATCATCGTCTCCCCCTGAGGATTACCCACCACGAGGACAAACGACGAGATTTTGCCAGATTCAATCGAAGAAGAAGGAAGCTCCATCACCAGCAAAAAGAAGCCCTGCAAGTCGTGCAGAAGGCAAAAAAGACGAACCGCTAGAAAAAGGCGAACGGATAAGAATTTTGTGGCTCTGTCGAGAGGAGAGGAGCTGTAGCAGCGAGCAGCTGTGAGGGCTGTCGAGTTGTGCGAAGGAGGGGAACCAGAGGAGACGAGATTTGTTACGCGAGCTGCAACGGGTGAGGATCGAGCGGTGAGCGAGCCACTACGGGTGAGGATCGAGCGACGAGGGAGCGTCGGCGACTCCATATATATATATATATATATATATATCATCTCTAATTTCATACTAATCGATTATTATCAATCTCTACAACTTCGTACATAAGATCTAGAAGATCTCCAAAGGAAATAGTTTCTTATACCATCAGTCTTTGATCCAATAAAAGTGTCCAATCGAGTTAACCATCTATGTTCTTTCAAGTATCATCCATACCATAAAAAAAAATTGATAATTCATCTTTACAAAATAATTGGTAAGCATATAGCTTCACCATTGTTTGATTGTTTGAAATTTGATAAACCATATTTAAACCATATTCAAAACATATTTAATCATTATTTGAACAAATTTCAAACAAAACTTGAACACATTTTCTAATACAATTCAAAATATTATCTTCAATCTTCTATCCAGCTATAATTTATATTACACGATAAAACATTAAAAATGCATGCATCCATGCCTACAACAGTTGAGTTAAATTGTATTTTTATGTTGAACTTCATTGTCATGACCATCTTAATCTGCTGAGCAAAAAAAGACAAAATGAAAAGACAAATAAAGCAGTGGCAGAACATCATTTTCCCTATATAACAAGAATAAAAACAATGAAAGAAAGTATCTAGGCCGAAAATAAACTTTCAAAAAAGCTTATCTAAGAAAACAAACATAACACATATTTCTTCAATTATGGCCATTACAAGACATATAGAGTAAATTTCATTTCTAGATTTATTAAACATAAAATATAAAGATACTTGGCTTTAAATCTGTAGATTTAGACTCACATGGAGAAATTTGCTAATAACATTCTTCTAACAATTAGTGGGACGGTAGAGTTGCACCAAGGACTAACCAATTATAATTTTTTTTTAACTTTCAAAGGTGCAAAGCACTTAAATTTTTATTAACTTTCAAATTTGCAAAGCACAAGAAGTTTCAACATACAAAAATCATTGTATAGACATAAGCACCCGTTGCAACAGGAAGACCAAGTGTTGTAGTACCCTCAGGCAGTGACCGGAGTTGATTTATGCTGATCCCAATAAGCAAGAGTGCAAGAGCTTCCCACTATATTTGCATAAGGAAAAAATTAAAAATGAAAAATGTTAGAACAGATATCTATGACTCCCACATTGACCATGTAAGAGTACAATTATGTACAAATATGGAAGATTCAAAAAGTTAAAATAGAGGATAATGCAAAAAATGTGGGTTAACTTTTTAGAAGGCACTAAAAGCAAACAGTTGCAGAATACAAATCTTTCCCAAATAGCTGTGATTAATACAACTAGAATAATAATGCTGATCCTGCAGACTGTGGCCCAAATATAATCTCTAACAAATACATGTACATTTTTATAATTCAAAACGGAACATGGGAATAGCTTGCCTGAATTATTGAAAAACGTCTTCTCATAATCATCTTTAAAAGCACCGCAATCACCAAAACCTGCAGGCCAAAGTTCAGCTAATTTTAAATGCTAATTTAACTCTCCCTAACAAATTTGTTTGGTAATTTTCAAAGAATACATAACATTCAAAGGCACAATAGCAATCAGGTGTCCAAAATTTCCATAGTGCAAGTACAGTAATGCGCACAGGAAAGCATTCAGCAGAGAGCCAACTACAATGCTGTTAGATTAAGCATACAGAATGAATATTCATTTGACAGCATAAATAACGGACATAACAATAACTCATCGATCAAGTCAGTGAATAACCAACATAAACGTAAACAATTTAAAAGATAATCCAAAGCATGAAATGTCAGATAATTTTAATTCAAGTAAAATTTAAAAAATTCAATTTAAAATAGTAAAACGAAAAAACAGTTTCTCTCACAAAACCCAACAAATTCTCAATAAAAAGATTGTAATAAAACCTAAAATTTCCTTTCTAATAGAATAATCTTTACTCAACAAATCTACTTATCAATGCATTTAGCTGATTTTTCCTTGCAAATCTTTTAAATAACTTATCTAAGCCCGTCCAATTAAAAGTGCTTCAAACCAAGTTAGGAGTGAGTGAAGCAATGTGTTGGTCTGCACATCACTTGTCCTTGAAGAATAAGCTCATAGTAAAGCGTGTGCATCACACCACTTCACTGCTTTGCATCATCACGATGTAGCATTCTACGTTGAGCTACATATCTTAAAAGAATCGTGGTCAATATTTGTGATTTGATTTAGTATTTTCCGCAATAACGAGGCATGAACGTTCACTTCTTCCCATTGTTTGTCAAAATTCATTGAGTCATTGTTCATTAATTCTTCATCACCTCTGACAATCATGGAGATTTTTCTTTACACTTACAGACAAAATACGAAATAAATAAATATGTGATAGGGCTGGTATAGCTCTTGTGATGGACAAAATTAGAGAAAGTGAAAGTTAGAGAAAGTCATCTTAGATGGTTTGGTCACATTAAGTGTCGACCATCTGATGATCCGATTAGGAGAGTAGATGTTTTAGATTCGACTTTTGTCAAGGAAGGCAGAGGTAGACCAAAGAAGACTTGGGTTTATTATATAAAAAATGATCTTAATTTATTATCTTAATTTATTAGAGAAATGAAAATATGACATTAAATAGGACGCAATGGAGAAAAATGATTCATGCAGCCGACCCCACGTAGTGGGATTAAAGCTTTGTTGTTGATCTCCCACCCGCTAATTTTTTTATACACTTCTCCCTAGTTTTTGTTATTGATGCTAGAGCTTCACACTCAAAAGCTTCTTAAGATTGCTTTTTGATGCCTCATACGCACATTGTCTTACCTCATGCTACATCCAACTCTAGGTTAAGCCCTCTAACTCAATAAATAGTAAAATTCAGCCAACATTCTCTCTCCTGCACATATAAAGGCAATTCCTCTCTCTTCAAATGGCATCTCCAAATGGATATTAGAAGATTTTAACCCAAGCATACTTTCTCTTTCATCTCCTTAAGTCAAGCGGTCACAAGGGAATGAAAATTTAATATTTAAAAGTAAAGAAGACGATAAAGAATGTTGTATAAAATTTTATATTTTATATCAATTATTTTAACACATAGAAGTATATATAAATAACTCAGTATATCAGCCATAATAAATTAAGTTAATATTTAATAAATAATGCTAACCTATAAATTAAACTATTGTTTATCTATTTAATATACTATAGTAAGAAAATTTTCCGCTATCCATAAAATGCAATGGTAAATCTCATTCTTAATGATTGAGATGTTTTAATATATAAATACATGCATATAATTACTTACATAAATACTTATCTGAAAACTAAATTAGCATTTCAGTCCCTATCATGTAAAACATAACTAGCGGCAGAAAAGAGAAGTTGTTGGTAGGGTTGGACAAAAGGGAAGAAATAAGGGAAAGAACAGAAAGAAGAAAGGAGAAAAGAGAGGAAAGCTAGAGTTGGAAATAACAATCAACTTCATGGTGATTTCTTTCATGAAATGAAATTTGTTAGATTTGAGAGTACAGCAGAATGCATAATATTATTGATAGGAGGAAGGGTATTTAAACCAAATTACAATGAATACAATAAATAAAAGAAATAAAAACAAAATAAAGCAAATTGGAAAGAGAAAAAAACTGAATAAAACAAATAGTAAATCTAATAATAAGTAATAATGGCAAGCATAGACATCAATCATGTTCAACTTTGAAGTCATTGAACAAAGGACGAGGAATTCTTGGTGAGAATGTCCGCTGGTTGACCACTAGAGGGCACAAGAAACACAAATTTCCCTGGACTCGACCTTTTTCTTAATGAAGTGTCTGTCAATCTCCACATGTTTGGTACGATCATGTTGGACTGGATTGTGATCAATGCTGATGGTTCTCTTATTGTCACAGAATAGCTGCACTAGGATGGCAAAGTTCGCGGCAGAGCATGATGCATAGCCAGAGAGTTTCACAGATTTCCAAGGAAATTGACCAGAATTCAGCTTCAGCATTGCACCACGCAATCATATATTATTTATTGTTTTTTCAATAACAAGATTTCCCCCATACAAATGAACAATACTGTGAGGTGTAACGTCAATCATGAACCGATATGGCTCAATCAGCATCTATATAAATAGCAATAGACTGAAAGTTGTGACGATAGAAAAACAAAGCTGAGCCCGGTGTACCTTTTAAACATTGCAGAATCTAATTGATAGCTTGAAGGTGGTGTTCATAGGGGGCATGCATGAATTGACTCATTATACCAACTGCATGGCATATGTCAGGGCAAATATAGGCGAGGTAGATGATTTTTCTCTCAAGGCTCCCATAGTGAGTCTTACTGACAGGCACAACATTGGGAATATCAGTTAATTTTTTATTGGGATCCATAATAACAGTCACAAGTTTGCACAGAAGAAGATTGTTCTCTGTCAAGAGATCAATCACATATTTACGCTGAGACAGGCAAATGCCCCGAGATGACACAACTACTTTCATGCCTAATAAGTACCGGAGAAATCTCAAATCCTTCATTTCAAAGGACGTAACAAGAATGTCTTTCAAGGACTCCAATGTTTGGAGATAGTTACCTGTAAGAACAATAACGTCAACATAAATAATAAGGATAGCTACCTGGCCATTGGAAGAATGTCGGAAGAAGAGGGTGTGATTCGATTGAGTCTGAGTTAAGCCATGACCCACGACCACCTTTGTAAATTTGTCGAACCAGACCCTTGGGGCCTGAACCAGACCCTTGGGGCCTGAACCAGACCCTTGGAGACTGCTTTAGCCCATAGAGGGACTTTTGTACCCAGAATTACAAACACTTGTATATGCGGTGTCTGGTCGTCCTATCCTGCATTCCTAAGATATGTTGTCGACCCAGTGCACTGGCCTATTCTTTGTTCTGCTTGGTGTGCCTTTACTTTCCTGTTGTGTGCTTGAAACTGGCTTCGCCCTTTTTATGTGTAGTTTGCCTGGGATTATTCAAGAAATATAATTTAAGCTCTTTAAAACCTAAAATTTTAAATCTTTCAAATATCCTAATATAATTTTAAGATTAATTAAAATTTGGGATTAAAATATCTCAAAATTTTTAATCTGCACTTTACTTTTCTGCACGGCCTTCGAGACAGTTTTAAAATAGATCGTATTGCATGAGCATAACCCAAGTCATGCTAATAAAGCCTAAACAATCTAAAGACAACACTAGATAACTAAATTGCATCTTGCATGTCTAGAGGATGAGTCCCTGCACTCCTCCAAATCAACTGGCCCAACATAATTTTTTATCTTAATTGGTTGCCTAAAACGCCTAGATTGTTAGAAGACTCCCCGACCCAGACGGGGTGTAAAACCTTTTGTGAGAGTGCTCTAGCTTTAATAATTTGAGTCTCTCTTTCCTTTACTAAAGGCAACTTGTCACTTATGTTTGGCAAGTGTGTCCCACCTCTACAAAATCTTTCCTTTAGAATATAGGAGTAGATTTTCTTTCTCTTGACATTAGGGCTACCGAGGTTATGATTGCTGACAAAAGAGCCTCCGGTCAAGTTGGTTCAACTACCTTCTGATCAGGTAAACTTGAGGTACGAATAGCTTGGGATAGAGAATTCATGATGTCCTGACCCCGTTATCTGTACCTGGTAAAGATCACACTCTCATTTCCTTTGTTTACCCTCGTTGAGCCCTGTCACTCATTTGAAGTTTTCGTTGAAGTCATTTAGCAGGTCTCACTTATCTAACAAGTTATTGCCCATTTAGAATGCAACAATTTGCCCTCTGCCCTTACAGCCCAGTCTGGCCTCGGAGCGGTGGATTGTTTTCTACCAATGACCCGGTTATTTCACAGGCCTCAATAGCCTATGAGCCGCTACCCATTTAAAGACTTATTCTCTGTCATGTGTCTTAGCGAGAGCTCATAAAGCATCGGGATGTTTCCTATGACATAACTATCCTTTGTGACTCCCTTGCTAGTCGTAACTTAATTGTAAGCAAAACTCCTCTGATCAAGAGTATTCTTGAACCCCCTAGATGTAATTAACCATAAGAAACATCCCTTTGAGAGCACTCTTGACCCCAAAAAAAATTCATCAATTTGGTTCTTTGGTTTGAGTAGCTTATGTAGGTACTCTTTCATGGATATTTGGTTCAATGTATTTTTGTCCGATCTTGTTTGGACGTAGACTCTTGACCTATCACACAAGGTTTACCGCACATAGACTTTTCACGTTCTTTTTTAAATATTTGTTTATCATCATTGTATTTCCTTTTTTTTTTTATTCTTTTCTTCTTTGTATCATTCACATGATTTGAAAGAGAGATTGTTCAAAAGAAGGAATTATACGACGATAAATAGGCTGATGGGACCGAGTTATATTCTAAAAAAAAGCAAAATAGATTGGCGACCCAGCTGGGATGAGACTCTCTCCTCTTAAGGAGTCCTAGCATCACTATTTTGTCTATTATACCCTCTTGGCTTCAAATTTACGTGT